AGTTGTGAAGATCTAATTTCCCCACAAGCAGCTTGTAATATCCTGTTTGGCTTGGGCCAAAGGAAGTGTAAATACTCATAAGGACATTATATTCATGCATTTAGATGTGTGCGCATTCGCCTTTGACACTTTGAAACAATTTAGTTATTTCATATTTGCTGACATCATCTAGTTGTAATGCAAAAAGCCAACTTCCCCCATCAGACCTTGGGATGTCGTCCTTTGGGGTTGGGGGGCGTGGCATGCGTTCGGGGGTGGTTTCCCTTCACTCGTGCTCTCCCTCTCGCACTTAACTATTGACGCCGTTGACGTTGACAGTTACGTTGATTTATGGCTCCGCTTGGACCTCTTTTTTCTGTTTTTTTTTTGGTCCTACGATAACTGAAATCTTATCCATCAGGCTGGTTTTCCTACCCAATAGTACCCGCTGGCCAGGGCTTTTCCTCTAATGAATATCATTTGAGGACAATTAGTTAATTGAGTGGCTTATCCAGGCTTATCCTTTTTTTTCTTGTTTTTCTTTCTTATTTCCTAGGTGCGTATGCCTTATCAGTTCTGGTTCTACCCCTTCGCGGGTAGCTTTTCCAAAGGTTTTTCTCGCTAACTGACCGATCCCGTTTTCCTCTTTTATTTTCCACTCCCTGCAGCATGGGGAAAATGGCAGTCGATTGCGGTAAATGCTGCACTTCCGATGCCCGCTGATGGTTCAAGGAAAAGGGCGAAGGGAAAAGGGGAGGCGAAAAAGTGTGTAATGAATTATTACCCTCTGATAAAAGTGCACGACGAGATGTTGCTTTTTTCTGGGTGGTTTTCCGCTTTCTGACTGCCGTTTGTGGAACGTTAAAAGCCAGTTTTGAAATCGTATTAAAAAATATTAAAGTTTGCCTAACTGAAAGGGGGGTGCATTGCAGTTGACAAGCAATTTTTAAATTTTCGAAACTCCATGTCTTATAAAGTTATATCCATTTTTAATAAAGAAGAACAGGATTTACTTAAGCTTTATTAGGAAAACTTTAAATCCCTTGGAAAGCGATTGGCAATTATTCTAAAAAGATATTATTATCGGAAAATGATCCTAAAGAACTCCCTGCTGTTTCATATTCTCTATTAAATTTATAAATAAATAGATTATTTTATCTCAATTTAAATAAAATATCCATACGGAAAAAAATGTATAATGCACCATGCACCACTCTTCCGTTTTGGATCGTTTAACAAGCCATCCTCTGTGTTCAGACCATCTACTCTACCTTCCATTTGCTAATCACTTGCAACATTCACCGCTGCGGGGTCTAGACAAACACTTCAATTAGAAAAGGCCGCTCCTTCCCTCCCCTCCAGTAAGTCCACTGCCCCTCTTGCCCGACGGCTCTGGGAGCAAGCAAATGAATTCATTTTGTTTCGAATTCGATGAATCAGTTGGCAACTTTTTTTTGCCATTGCATGGCCTCCACGAATAGGGGGGCGTGGCTGCTGCGAAAAAATAAAAGAGGGCGGCAGACGATTTGCGGAGGTTAAATAAAAATGTGAAATGAACAAAATACAAAACGCAACAAAAGCATCTGAAACAAATGGACAAACGATGCTGCACCTTTCTAGATGAAGCTCCAGTTGTAGATGGAAGATGATGTGCATTGGGAAAAAAATTTTAGACATTTCATAAATACATCTCATATTTTTTAATGTTGTTATTGTTAAGGCATGAGAAAATGTATGCATTTTATAAATACGAAAAACTGGCATTAGGGTTTAAATATATCTTTCTAATATTCCTATTAAATAAATCGAGGTAAAATGTAGTAAATATAGGAAACATATAGTTTGTTAAGAATTATTTAAATTTTAAATACAAAACTAACTTTTTTCAGTGCAAAAGGAGGGCAAGGGAAACCGGCTGAGCTAGCTGGTTGGGATTAAGTTGTGAATCGTGATCTCGGCGAGCACTGGGCAAGTGGATGGGACTGAGCTTCACCCGAAGACTTCCAGCTGCAGTTGCAGATGAAGTTGGAGTGGGAGTCCGGGTTGCAGACTGGGTCCGAAGAGCCTTGGAGTCTGGGGCTTGCCCTGCCCGCGGTGATTAATCCGCGACCCACTCCCCGGACCTCTGCTCCACTCCACGAAGGTGGAAGATTCTCAACTTTAGATACTTTCGGGGTTAAGATGGCTGTGGACTCCGAGCAGCTGGCCCTGGCTTTGGCGATAATTAACCCGTGATTACAATGTTTGTAAATTTTTTGCCTGCCTCGGCTGGGTTCTTCATGAAGAGTGCGGTTGATTTTTTTTTTTTTTTTTTTTTTTTGTACTATGGGTTCACCTTGCGGGCCAATTTGTTCGAGGGACTGCTGAGAGTATGGCAAAATGAAGCTAAATTGCTGCAACAGGCGGCAGAGCAGAGCTGAGGCTTATGCTCCTGGTAGTTGAGCAATTTATTATTGCCGCAAATTGATTTTTATCTAGGCTTAATCGATTGTTCCTAGGAGTGACTACGAAATGTGCAAGAGAGGGCTCAACGAAAATTATTTATGTTAGTTCACACGTTGTTTTACACGTAATTTATTAACTCGCTTTTCTAGTGCAAACTCTCTGACCTTGGGGGCAGCGTTGGAAAATCGGTTTTCCGCCCGTCTTTGGTGTGAAGGTGATTTACAATTTATTCCGCCCCCATCCCAAAACGCCCCCCTTCGACGGCCATGCATGATGCGATAATTTGCGCCAGTCTGGAGCGGAGCTGGCCAAAAAGATATTTATGACAGAGAAATGAGCGCCAATTGCTGCAATTACCAGCGCGTGTTTGGCCGTCGGCAATGGCAGGCCCAAACGAGTTTAGATTTAGTTAGATAGATTTAGTGTGGAGACAGGGATCGATGGGGTGGATTGGGGAGTTAGGCATGGAGTGCTAGATGGAGCTAATTTTATAAGAATTTGGGCTATTGGCGAAGAGAAATTCCTTTAAAATGAGGTTTCCAGGAAGCGTTTTAGAGGCGAAAAGCCTCAGTTGCATTTAATTGTAAGATGTGGAACAATTGTCATTTTAGTTTGTAAAACAAAAATTTAGTTTATAAACTTACAAAAATTTAATTTCAATTTAAAATTTCTGTTCGTTGTACTAACGTTTTCTATATTTTTAATTCAATAACTTCTTAAGGATTAAATTCTGTGTTATTGACTAAGCCATATTTTTTCCCCGTTTGAATTAAAACTGTTATTAAAAATTACAATTTCAGACTCGGCGAAACAAATCGATACATTTTCAATATCCGCAATTGTATCATGTAGATGCGTTAAGGGGGAAATGTAAATTGAGGGGGTATATTGAAAAGCGTAGGAACCGCAAAAAAGGCAGACCGCATCGTTGTGTTTTATATATTAATTTGCGAACAATCGAAAATCGACATGTGACACGCGTTCGCTTGGCCTCCCCCCTTTTGTCCCCCGTCACTGTCTCATTTTTGTGTTTTTTAAATTTATGCGTTACGAATTGCATTTGCAATTTTTTCTCCCTTTTATTGTTGTTTTGCGGCTGCTCTCGTTGTAAATGCAACATCGATGAATGCGAAATGAGGGATTCGGGAGGAAGCGAGAGGGAGATATCCGATCGACAGAGAGGGAAGACGTCTTCCCTCCGTTTGTCACAAATAATAATAATAATCGAGGCAATGAGGGACCCCGAGAATCGTTTCTGTAAATGTACGGACATATATTCCGATATTCGTTGCGTTCATGTAACCGACCTGCATCTGTCGCTGTGTCCATCTCCATCTCCCTCTGTCTCGTCTTCCCTCTCCCTCTCCCTCTGCCATTGCCTCTGACTCTTACTCTGCCCGGGACATATCAAAAACAATTCCAGCTCATCAGCATCATCGTTGTCAGCCCCTTTTCCCCCTATATATACGTTTTATACTTTTTTTTGCCTCCCCGACATTCGCACACGCCATAAATCAATGTTCGATTTTCCCAACAACAACAACAACCGGAGGGAAATTCGCAAGGAAAGAGAGGGCAGAAGAGTGAGACGGCGACAGGCAAGGACACAGGACATTATGTTCGCGCCATGTTTAAAATTCTTTTTTTCCCGGTCTGTTGTTTTGCTTCCTTTTTTTCGCTTTTCGCTCGCCTGATTTTCAATTCTCGTTTTTGTAAATTTCTTCTTTTTTTTTGCCCTCAGCGCGTGTTGCATTTCATTTCATCTCATGCGTTACACACATTTTATTGTTGTTGCATTGCTCAATTCCATTTACAATGTGGCAGCAGCGGTGGAAATGCATTAAATTTTCTTTTTTTCGGTGACATGCGGGGCGCCACGGAAAAAAAGCAGGAGGAAACGGAACAGGGCAGCGGCAACCGGAGGCCAGGTATTCCTATATGGCCAACCCAAGAAATATTTGTGGTAAATTGAACAGATTTCAGCTGTGCAAGACGCTCAATGGAAAATAGTTCTGAAAATAGCTCGGCGAGAGCTTAAAAGTGAATGAAAAAAATAAAAATACAAAAAAACTGTTTAACATAACAAGCAAAATAGTTAAACAAATAATATTTTGTCAAAATAAGAATAAAAAAAATTATAACTTTGAACTTAAGATGGTTGCGATTGATAAATACTGTCTGTTTTTGTGACTTGATAAAGTAATACATCCAAGAAATTATGATATTTATATAGTAACTATATTTTAACATATATAGTAACTCCCAAAACAAATCCTCAAAAAATAAAAGAAACGTAAACAACTTTCTCCGGAAACCTCATCAAAATAATGTACTGTCCCCCTAACGAATTGCGGGAAAGCAAAAGCAAACTGTATGTAGCCACAGAAATTATTTATACAAAGCATTTTCGACACTTGCTGAGCGGTAAACTTTCTTCCCAACAGCTGTTTCGAAACTTTATAGAACTTTTAATAGACCTAGAAAAAATAAACTGGAACCGAAACTAGAGAATTCAGATAGGCATTTTACCTGCAGTGGATTGAGCGACACCTTCAGTCGAACTGAAACCTCCGGAAAATGGATGATTTTGGGGTAGGAAGGAACTGAGTTCGATTTTCGGCTATTTGCGATACTTTTTTCGCTTTGTCGACGGCCGTAATTTTCGCTTCTCGAGGATAATCGTGGACAGTAGCTCGATGGGAGTTATGGGGCACATGTTCGCTCGATACGGCCGAAGGGGGGTGAAGACGCGGAGGGGGGCGGGAAAGGACTCAGATCCATTGACCGTGTCAGCCGCACATTTGGCCTAAATCAATTGGACACTCTGTTTATGCTAATTTTTTCGCAATGGTCAAAACTCATTTGCCGACGGGAAATTATTCGGAGATATTTTATCGCTTTCTTGCCACTTTCTTTCTGCGGGAAAATTATTGCGCTCGAATCTCTCTCGACTCGACGCTGCGAAATTGCCAACTAGAGATGCCTCCAGTTTTGTTGGCCGCCTTAGGAGCCAAAATACAAAAGTATTTTCCGTATATTCCGCATTTTCTGCTGCTCTTCTCCATCAGCAGAGTGCTCGGCTTCTTCCTCTTATTTGGGAGCGTTTTGGCTGGCGCTCGAAAATGCTTAACAAAAGCCCCAAAATGACAACAAAGGGGAAGTGGGATTCAATCAAGGCGCAATAAATTATTATACTTAAGAGAACGGCCCCCGGGGTCAAGAGAGTGAGATAAAGAGCAGAAGCAGCCACATAATAATAACGCAATTTTCAACTGGCAATAAACTTTGGGTAAATGACTTCATTGCCATGGCAACTATAACTTTATGGCTCTTTGATAGCTACCCATTCCCTATCAATTCTATCCCGATTCTCTTAGAGATTCTCGGCATGCGCAGTTGCTAGGGAAACTCTCTGTTTCTCTGACACCCCCTACGATATACCACCATCCTCAACAATCTCCTTGAAACTGTCGAAAAGTGGAGGGACAGGCAAAAAACAAAAACAATCAAAACCAGAACAATAACAACCCGTACAATGGGAGCCAATGGGCATACGATTAGGGAAATAAGTCCCTTGTTTGGGAAAAAGTCTTCCAAAAATTAATTAACAACATAGTTTTGTTAATAAATATTTATTTATATCGATATATAATATATAATATCAAACCTTGCACTCAAGAAACTAAAACATGAGTTGGACAAAATTTGCTCTATAAGATAAGCCAATGCCATATACTATAAAATACATAGGATATGCTCATCTCTTATGGTGTTTATTTCTGAAAATTTTTAGATATTATACGTTTTAATATTTCCAAGAAATTAACATATATGACATTATTTTCTAATCCCTGAAGTCGTATTATGCGGTAAAGTTGCTTTTAAATACAAATTCTTTCCTTACAATGGCTCCCCTGTTGCAACCTCAAGTGCTTTCAAAAATCCATTTGATCCCATTGTCGCACTTGGAGATTGTCATCGTCACCATGGCCATCATCATCCGCACATTTATTTGGCTTGGGAGTGTGCTGCATGTAAAGGCAGCTAATAAAATTAAAATGCCATATTTCAGCCGTTGATAACAATAAGTGCGCTCAAGTTGCCCCTCGGATGCTGCCGTCCCATGCCTTTTGCACCAGCGATCTTTCCTTACTTTGGTGCTGCGACTGGCGAGTAGGAAATTATTTTTTGGCACGAACGCACGAACGTGCGGCCTTGCCACAAAGTGTGGAGTCCCGAAATAAGGGGTACGATTTTCGGGGGGCAAGGACGGGAGTCTGTTTATATGACAAAGCATCTGAGCTCAAAAAAAAATACCTGTAGAAAAACAGCCTGCAAGGAATTTTCGTAGATATTGATTTTGGTGTCAACGCCGACGGCGCAATTCTCTCAACCGAAAATTATGAAAATTGAAAATATACTTTTGGAAGGGGCTGCCTGAAGTTTTCCTAATTTCCCAGACAAGTGCGATAAGCAATCTAGCTAGACAGGAGGAAATGATTTATGCGGACTTGATTTTTATTATTGATTATCAACCAAAAGCGGGGGGAATTTAAATTTGCACTGAAAGTATAACCAAACTAAAGTGAAAGTTCACAGAAAAGAAAATAAATTTGATTTAAAATATCAAATTACATTTAATTTTAAATCTTCTTGTTTTTTAATACATTAGTTTGACTTTGTTACATATTTTTTTTAGCAACTTACAGGCCAATCAATCCTTTTTTGGAATATTTTTTGAGTGTGCCAGGTTGCTTACCGATTTTATATCTTTACGACAGGCTAATCTATTAATGGGCCTATTTATTTTTTTAGTCTAAATTTTAGAAGGTATACATCCATATATTTTTCTCTTCAGCCTTGGCCTGTAATTAAATTAAAATTCCTTTAACATGACAAGCCGGGAAAACAGACACAAACACATGCACTGGCAGAAAGGAGTCAACAACAGGCGGCCATGTCCTGGTAATGGAAATCCTATGCGAGTGTGTGTGTGTTGACTGCATCTCTTGAGCTCGTTTTGTGCAAACTAAGACACGTTGTCAGCATTCATGTCACTGAAAGAGAGAGGTGGCATGCTCAGAAAGCAAGGGGGCGAGTGGGCGGAAGAGAGAAAGGGTGAAGGCTCTTTCAAGTGGCTTTTGCATGCTGGCCAAAAGATTTTTCATTAAAATTTTCCCTTCCATCGCCTAATAGTTTTTCTTTAGCCAGAGAATTTCTGCATTGTAAGTGAAAAAATGTTACATTTTCCATTTTTAGTTAAGGGTGTGGATGTCAAATTTCGGAAACAGGAAAATGTTTAAGTTTTGGCTTTTGGGTAATTACATTTTACTTCTTGTGGCAAAAACTTTAAGTTGACAGTATGTTGTGTAAAGTTTCACTGGAACTAGGAAAATTTTAAGTGTCATTTAAGTTGCTAGGAAATAACAGAACATCGCAATGCGTAAATCACGTTTTTGTACAATTAATATCTAACAGGTTTGAAAGGTTTTTTCAAAAGAAAAAGTGTAAAGTTAAGACCTGGTGTTTAAAATTAACTTCAAATATTTGAATTTTCATGTTTACATTTATTGTATCCACTCAGCCTAAATCAACCCAATTCGCTTTCAATTTTTAACATTTAATTAAAAATTCACCATTTCTTTTGCAAATTTTTACAATCAAAAGCCGCACGCGTTAAAATGCTCTTCCCCTTCCGAAATTTTTGTAATGGACTTCGCAGCGTTTGGACAGCGTTTAAAGATCGCACTCGAAAGCTTCATGATGAGGCTTCAATCCAACCAGACGCCACCCCCAAATGGATGAGGGTCGGGGAGGAAATTGCGGGGCAACCGGTCCGGGGGGAAACACAAAAATCTTTTTACGTCAGTTCTGCTTGTCTTGTTGCCTGGCATTTTCTTGCGTTGTTACCTTCGGAGCGGGAACAGTGCGAAATGCTTGGTTGCGCTGTTGCCCCGACTGCCCCGCTGTTGCTCCACCACATCCCGCATTTACTACCGCCCACCGCCCCTCCTCCTTTGAGTGCTGACGTGTTGGCTAATTTTTAGCTGCAGCATTACCAATTTTATATAGGTGTTTAAGTTACAGTTTAAGCATTTACAAATATTTAGCCGTTTATATTGGGTTTTTATATGTAATTTGAAGGATTGTTGACTTGAAGATGAACAAGGTTTCTCAATATTTTAATGTACTAAAAAAGTAAAAGAAAAATAAGATACAGTAGTAGAATTGATTGTGCCAGTATTTATACATCCTACTGCCAATAAAACTATATCAACATCCAGAAAATTCGAGTTCAACAGTAGTTTACATTAAAAACTTTTTAAGCTTTAACAAATTTGTCAATAGTAGAATTTGTAATACATTAAATCAAAAGTATTTTATTATTTTCAAATGTTGCCCTCTTGTGACGAAAATATATATTTTTCCATTTTCCGATTATGTGATTTTGATTTAGCTATACTCCGTTATTTATTGTTAACAACACTGCCTCCGTTCCGTCTGTAACTCGCCGGCAATTTCCTTTAGCGCAGAATATACAACGAAAGCGGAGCGAAAAGTTTTTGCGAAAAACGTTAAACGCAATTGTCCGTCCGTCCGCCCCATTGTGTCTGTCTCCCTCGCGCTCCGTCCGTCCGTCCGTCTGCCTCCGTCTCTGTCTGTCTGGCATGGTTCATCCTTCCGCTTCCCGCTTCCCACTTTCCAATTCCCGATTCCCGCCCCTCGGGCAGTTTAGTATATAACAAGTCAGCGTCAGCTGCTCCTTTCCGTTCCGCCCGCTACAGTTCGTATAAGCATGGCCACAGCTATAGCTATAGCTACTGCTACTGCTGCCACTTTGTCGGCTGCCTCGAATACTTCCATGTTCATTTTACAAGTAAAACGGAAATGACAGTTCCGCAGCGACTCGAACATCTTTCGCTCCTCCGCTTCTCACGTCTGGTTTCTCCAGTTCTCCGGTTCTCCGTCTCCCCGATTCCCCGATTCTCCGCTTCCCTGCCATGGAAAGTGAAAGAAACCTTTCTCGCATAATAGTCTGTCAAAGTGCTCGAGTTGCTCCTGTGACGCGCAGTTCGCCACTCTCGAGCACTTAGCACTTGACAATCCGCAGAAGGACTGGATGGAGAGAAAGAGATACGAAAGTATCGAGAGATGAAAAGATATACCCAAAGATAAGTTCATGGATCGGTGGGATCCTAAAAGGTTTAGTTCTGCACGTCATATTTGCTTTACAAATTTGCTAAAAACTTACAATGGAATGCAACTTAAGCTTTGTAGAATATATCAAAAAATAAAACAAAACTTAAAAATGTTTTTAAGATTACAAAAAAAAAAAACTTCTTATTACAAGACATAATCCTTTTTGTGTTTTTAAATTTAATTCCAAATTTTAATTTAAAAATTTTCTTCTGTAGTATTTGTCTTAACCAGAAAGTATGCAATTTTTATTAGCATAAGACAGGATTTTTTACGTACTGGCATTCGATTTTAACAATAACCCAAACCAAATATTACATATTTTGGGCTTTATATACAGAATACCCTGCTACTTGAACTAATTTTCTAATTATGAGTCCAGGGCACAGAAATCATGTCAGCCGTCCATTGCTCTCTCGCTCACTCGTTCGCTGAGTGATTTATGGCCGCTGCTGGAAAAATGTCAAAATATTTGTTGGCCAGTATCCCAAAACCGTCGGCCTCCTCCCCCCGATGATTTGCCCCCGCCAGTTTATAGACTTGCCTACGCAATATCGAACTTATCCAAATCACTTGGTAAACTTTGCCCTCTTTCTTCGTGCCTCTTCAACTGCTGCTCCTCCTTCTTATTCTTATTCCTTCTATTGTTTGTTGTGAATTTGATTTATTTATTTATTGTTGGCTCTCGTTTTGTATTCGCTAATCGCCAGTGGAGCGACTGATTAGCGTAATTTTCCGGCTGCTGAGCGTTTGGATTGCTGCCTTCGATATTAATTCAGAAGTTCGGGGCTAGATATTGCATTATTATTCTAAAAACTTTGCTGATGCGGAATAAAACTCCACAAATACATATAAGTAACTAGAAAACGACAAGCGGAAAGAATTTCTAATGTACTGGAGCGACCTGTTATAAAGAATAATGAATGATGCTTATAAATATGTTTTTCAAATATTCACTTATTTTTCTCGTTTTCAAAAATTGTTTTTAAACAAAGTTAAAAATAAGTTAATCCAATGGCTCCAAGTTTTATGAATTTACAAAAAAGTTTTTAGGTTCTAGGAAGGCATTTCATTATTTTTTCATTTCATCCACTAGTAGAGAAACTAGACACTTATTTCCAAGCTAATTTTCCAAATCAAGTTTAAGAAAGATATCATAAATTCGTAAAAACCAACCTTATGAATGCAAATTGTTAAAGCTTAAAAAACGGCTTTTTAAGTTTTCGATAGCCTTGACAAAAAACTGTTATCGAATACCCATTGTGTTAACTTCTCTCATTTGCCCGCCACTGA